TTGTTTATTATTTACTAGCTTGGGGACCCGGCGCTGCCCGGTTTATTTGAGAAAGGAATTGTGTCTCAAGGGTGGTCTTTATCAGTTATTTATATGGCTCGCAGTGGTCTCAGGAAGTTAGTGAAGGTACTGCGAGTCAGCTGTGGTCCATCCCCCTCCAAACTGCACCAGGATGGAGAGTGGGTCATGGGGGCTCTATGTGCCAAGTTTAGTCTTGATTGGCCATTAGATGAGGGTTGCAGCAGTCTTGGGAAGTGAGTGGAGGTACTTGAAGTCCCATCATCCATACTCTGTTCTCCCCCAAACCTCACCAGAATATTGAGTTGGCCATGGGGGCTCTCCGTGCCAAGTTTGGTCTTTCTTGGTATTTGGATGAGTGTAGCTGTGGTTTCAGGAAGTGAGTGAAGGTACTGCAAGTCCCATCATCCATGGTCTGTCCTCCTCCAAACAGCACCAGGATGTAGAATGGGTCATGGGGGCTCTGTGTGCCAAGTTTGGTCTTGATTGGCCATTAGATGAGGGTTGCAGCAATCTTGGGAAGTGAGTGGAGGTACTTGAAATCCCATTATCCATGGTCTGTCCTCCTCGAAAGTGCACCGGGATGTAGAGTGGGTCATGGGGACTCTGTGTGCCAAGTTTGGTCTTGATCAGTCATTGGCGAGGGTCTCAGAGGTCTCTTGAAAATCTTATATGGAGTTGGTTTAACCTCTGTCTGGCTACTTAAACTGAATTACAGTGTCACGAAAGGATGCGTGTCTAAAACGTGACACCAACATGAAAAGTTTGGCAAGCTCTGCCTTAGAGTCTCTCTGGGATCAATGACCACAGTTCCCTCCAATGGGAAGTCTATCTCTATGGAGACGTCAACTCTCAGGGATGCTCTTTCCACGTGTAATCTCTCAGGGATACTTCGATTGTGCTTTTCCTGCATGGAGGGGGCTTATTATCATTATACGGTTCTGGCCCAACTTACCTATCCGAACGTATCTCGGCCTATCAGCCCACCAGGACCCTAAGATCTTCTGGGGAGGCCCTGCTCTCTATCCCGCCTGCTTCACAGGTGCGGCTGGCGGGGACGAGAGACAGGGCCTTTTCTGTGGTGGCCCCGCGGCTATGGAACGCCCTTCCCATGGAGGTAAGATCAGCCCCCTCATTGATGGTATTCCGAAGAAGATTAAAAACCTGGATGTTCGAACAGGCATTTGGTTAACTCAGTGCAATGAATGTAATGATTAAAGGACTGGCAATATGGACGACGAAACTGGATCACGATTTTAGTCAGGAGATGAATTGGATTGTTATTGATATGTGAATTGTGTATTATGCTTTTATAGTTTTAAACTGTATACTGTTGATTGTTATATTTTGTTGTAAACCGCGTTGAGTCGCCGGCTAGGCTGAGAAACAGCAGTATACAATTTATTGATTGAACTGCAGTAATTACCACTGAAATGAATAAGTTGATAAAAGTAAGGAAATAAAATGTATTAGTAACAATGTTTGCGGTGAAATACACGGAGCAGCTACAGAGGAAACGACACAAGGATTATTTATACAGAAAGATTATACGAAACCTATCTGTATATATTATTAGATGTATTAAAATACTATATGGAGTTGGTTTAACAAACGGAATAGAATGGATATATGGACTCTGATATATGGACTCTGACATGAGATTGTTTTAGGATTTATGATTTTATTATGTATTGATGTTTTAATTTAACTGCTGAATTGTTATATTTTTGGATTACTTGTTGTGTGATTTGGGCATCTAATTGTGCCTTCCCTGTAAGCTGCCCTGAGTCCCCCTCGGGGTGAGAAGGGCGGGGTATACGTGAATGAAATAAATAATAAATACATAAATAAACCTCTGTCTGGCTACTTAAACTGAATTACAGTGTCACAAAAGGATGCGTGTCTAAAACATGACACAAACATGAAAAGTTTGGAAAGGTCTGCCTTAGAGTCTCTCTGGGATCAATGACCACAGTTCCCTCCAATGGGAAGTCTATGTCTATGTAGACGTCAACTCTCAGGGACGCTCTTTCCACGTGCCATCTCTCAGGGATACTTGGATTGTGCTTTTCCTGCATGGCAGGGGGTTCTCATTATTATATTTATTTATATCCCGCTTTTTCTCTCCATTCGGACACTCAAAGCGGCTCACAAATTAAAAGCGTTGCAATACAACTTAAAATATACAACTATTTAAAAAGTATTGAACATCATTAACATTTTCTGTTAAATCCATGAAAGCATATGAAGCTTATAGAATCATAGCAAGATTGGATTAGCTGTCCCATATCATCTCTTCCAACTCTATTATTCCATAATTCATATTTCATGCATTCATTCATTAATATTTAATTATTTATTAATCGCCCTCCATCCGAGAATGCTCTAGGCAATTTACAGGCTAAAATTATAAAAGATAAAATACATAGATACAAAAATTAAAATTAACATAGATCAAATGCTCTAATAAAAAGCCAGGTCTTAAGTGCGAGAGTAACAGATCCTAAGTCACGCATGGCTCTCAAATAGGGCGGCAAGGAATCCCATAAGGCAGGGGCAGAAATATAAAAAGCCCTGCCATGACTTTATGCCACGTCTATACATGATTTTTCCCCAAGGTGAGTTCTTTGATGATTATGTAGAGTTGAACCACCAGTGAAGCTCTGCCCACACTCCAGGCATGTTGTACTGATTGATTTATTTGTCATACGTGTGCCCTGACCCTTCTCTTCCCCATACAGGGGACTCAAGGCGGCTTACTGGGCACACACCTTGTGTTTTAACCACAATTACCTAAACATTTACAAATGGCAACATATTAGACAGTTAAGATTTGAAGGTAAAAACATTCCATCCAAAATTCATGGTCTGAGTCCATTCCGAGGTCAAAGTTTCCAATTCAGATTACTGCATTGTTCTAGTTTCCAAAAGCCTGCTCCCTGAGTCAGGTTTTGACTCTTTTATTTATTTATTTATCTAAATCATTTTTGCCCCGCCCATATCAACCCAAAGGTGACTCAGGGCAGCAAACAATCAGCACAATTCGATGCCACATAGAAAATACATACATCAATAAAAAGAAAACATCACATTGCAATATATCTAAAGACAATATATACTTAAGAACTGAAGCATAAAACTCAAACCCAGAGCAATGCGACTAACACAACAGGCGGAAAAATGGTACTGAAAAGGACCTCAGAGGATGCCTTGACCCCCAGCTCCATCTGCCTTTCCAGTGGGAGGTTTCGCCCGTCCGAATCCCCTTTTCGTAAACATGACTTCCTTTCATTAAGAAAAAGAGAAACATAGTAAGTTTACAACACATAATGCTAAAACCATACAGTTCATTGAGGGGCTGCCACAACTACAAAAATAAATCAGAAAAAGCACACGCCACTCAAACACTCCTGTACGGACACACAAAGTACACGAACCAATGAACAAACAGACCTGGGTCTAATTCTGAGAACTTCCCACCGGGCTGATTGTGTCCCTGGTCATTCTCCTCCCCTCAGGTAATCACGACAGAAGTGGAGTGCGGGGGCGTTCAAGTCTAAGTACTGTCATGACATGTTTATCTGCCCAATTTGTGGATTGAACTGCAGTAATTACCACTAAAATAAATAAGTTTATAAAAGTAAGGAAATAAAATAAGTAAGTAACAATGTTTGCGATGAACCACACGGAGCAGCTACAGAGGAAACGACACAAGGATTATTTATACAGAAAGATTATATGAAACCTATCTGTATATATTATTAGATGTATTGAAAAAATTATATGGAGTTGGTTTAGCCTCTGTCTGGCTACTTAAACTGAATTACAGTGTCACGAAAGGATGCGTGTCTAAAACGTGACACCAACATGAAAAGTTTGGAAAGCTCTGCCTTGGAGTCTCTCTGGGATCAATGACCACAGTTCCCTCCAATGGGAAGTCTATGTCTATGTAGACATCAATTCTCAGGGACGCTCTTTCCACGTGCCATCTCTCAGGGATACTTGGATTGTGCTTTTCCTGCATGGCGGGGGGGGGGGGGTGTCACTGAACATCGAGAAAACCAAAGTGCTGTTCCAGCAGTCACCAGCCAACCCCTCTCCAATGCCAGAGATACAGCTTAATGGTGTAACATTAGAAAATGTTGACCATTTCCGCTACCTTGGCAGCCACCTCTCCACCAAAGTCAACATCGACACCGAAATACAACACCGCCTGAGCTCTGCGAGTGCAGCATTTTCCCGAATGAAGCAGAGAGTGTTTGAGGACCGAGACATCCGTAGGGATACCAAGGTGCTTGTCTACAAAGCTATTGTCCTCCCAACCCTGCTCTATGCCTGTGAAACGTGGACTGTCTACAGACGTCACATGCAACTCCTGGAACGATTCCATCAGCGCTGCCTCCGGAAAATCCTGCAAATCTCTGGGAAGACAAGCGGACAAACGTCACTGTGCTGGAAGAAGCAAAGACCACCAGCATTGAAGCGATGGTCCTCCAACATCAACTCCGCTGGGCCGGCCACGTTGTCCGGATGCCTGACCACCGTCTCCCAAAGCAGTTGCTCTACTCTGAACTTAAGAACGGAAAACGGAACGTTGGTGGTCAGGAAAAGAGATTTAAAGATGGGCTCAAAGCCAACCTTAAAAACTCTGGCATAGACACTGAGAACTGGGAAGCCCTGGCCCTTGAGCGCTCCAGCTGGAGGTCAGCTGTGACCAGCAGTGCTGCAGAATTTGAGGAGGCACGAGTGGAGGGTGAAAGAGAGAAACGTGCCAGGAGGAAGGCACGTCAAGCCAACCCCGACCGGGACCGCCTTCCACCTGGAAACCAATGCCCTCACTGCGGAAGAAGATGCAGAGCAAGAATAGGGCTCCACAGCCACATACGGACCCACAGGAAAACCCATGATGGAAGACCATCTTACTCGTCCAACGAGGCATCGCCTAAGTAAGTAAGTAAGTAAGTATTTATTTATGTTTCTCTCCATTCGGACACTCAAAGCAGCTCACAAATTAACAGCGTCACAATACAACTTAAAATATACAAATATTAAAGCTGTATTGAACATCATTAATATTTTTAAAAATTAGTCAAATTCATAAAAGCACATGAATCCTATAAAATCATTGCAGGATTGGATGTCCCATGTCATCTCTTCCAACTGTATTATTCTATCATTCTATGACTTTATGCTATGTCTATACATGGTTTCTCCCCAGGGTGAGTTCTTTGATGTGTACGTAGACTTGAATTCTGAGTGAAGCTCTGTCCACATTCCAGGCATGTATAGGGTTTCTCTCCAGTGTGTGTTCTTTCATGTGAACGTAGATTTGAACTCTGAGTGAAGCTCTGTCCACATTCCTGGCATTTATAGGGTTTCTCCCTAGTGTGAATCCTTTGATGTGTACGTAGATGAGAACTCTGAGTGAAGCTCTGTCCACATTCCAGGCATTTATGGGGTTTCTGCCCGGTGTGAATCCTTTGATGTGAATGTAAATGTGAATTATGAGCGAAGCTCTGTCCACACTCTAGGCAGGAATAGGGTTTCTCCCCAGTGTGAGTCCTTTTATGTGAATGCAGACTTGAATTATGAGCGAAGCTCTGTCCACACTCCAGGCAGGAATAGGGTTTCTGCCCGGTGTGAATCCTTTGATGTGAATGTAAATGTGAATTATGAGCGAAGCTCTGTCCACACTCTAGGCAGGAATAGGGTTTCTCCCCAGTGTGAGTCCTTTTATGTGAATGCAGACTTGAATTATGAGCGAAGCTCTGTCCACACTCCAGGCAGTTATAGGGTTTCTCCCCAGTGTGTTTCCTTTCATGTTTACGTAGATCTGACCTATGAGCAAAGCTCTGTCCACATTCCTGGCATGTATAGGGTTTCTCCCCAGTGTGCGTCCTTTCATGTGCACGTAGGTTTGAACTCTTAGTGAAGCTCTGACCACATTCCAGGCATTTATAGGGTTTCTCCCCAGTGTGAATCCTTTGATGTGAACGTAGACCTGAACTATGAGCAAAGCTCTGTCCACATTCCAGGCATTTATAGGGTTTCTCCCCAGTGTGTTTCCTTTCATGTTTACGTAGATCTGACCTATGAGCAAAGCTCTGTCCACATTCCTGGCATGTATAGGGTTTCTCCCCAGTGTGCGTCCTTTCATGTGCACGTAGGTTTGAACTCTTAGTGAAGCTCTGACCACATTCCAGGCATTTATAGGGTTTCTCCCCAGTGTGAATCCTTTGATGTGAACGTAGACCTGAACTATGAGCAAAGCTCTGTCCACATTCCAGGCATTTATAGGGTTTCTCCCCAGTGTGTTTCCTTTCATGTTTACGTAGATCTGACCTATGAGCAAAGCTCTGTCCACATTCCTGGCATGTATAGGGTTTCTCCCCAGTGTGCGTCCTTTCATGTGCACGTAGGTTTGAACTCTTAGTGAAGCTCTGACCACATTCCAGGCATTTATAGGGTTTCTCCCCAGTGTGAATCCTTTGATGTGAACGTAGACCTGAACTATGAGCAAAGCTCTGTCCACATTCCAGGCATTTATAGGGTTTCTCCCCAGTGTGTTTCCTTTCATGTTTACGTAGATCTAACCTATGAGCAAAGCTCTGTCCACATTCCTGGCATTTATAGGGTTTCTCCCCAGTGTGAATCCTTTGATGTGTCTGCAGACCTCCAATCTGAGTGAAGCTCTTTCCACACTCCAGGCAGGAATAGGGTTTCTCCCCAGTGTGAATCCTTTGATGTGTACGTAGATTTGAATTATGAGCAAAGCTCTTTTCACACTCCAGGCAGGAATAGGGTTTATCCCCAGTGTGAGTCCTTTGATGTGTACGTAGACTTGAATTATGAGTGAAGCTCTTTCCACACTCCAGGCAGGAATAGGGTTTCTCCCCAGTGTGAGTCTTTACATGTTGCTGCAGATGATGCCTCCGAGTGAAGCTCTTTCCACACTCCAGGCATTTAGATGCTTTCTCCTCCATGTCAAGAATGATACAGGTGTTTAATTTCAATACAGACTTGACTCTTCTTTATTCTTTTGTTATCTGCAAGTGAAGTCAAGAATTCAGCAAGATCATCGCCTCGAGAGGATTTCTGTATTATTGGCTTCCTTACTGCATCCAAGAGGTCGCTCCAAAGAGTCCCCACTTCCCTGGTGAAGAAAGAAGAGAAAGATCAAGGATGGAAGCCAGAGACCTTCTCTACCTCCAAGATTTCCCCCTTCCCCTTCATGGGTCACGTTGAGAATGGGAATACCAAGAAAGGCCGACACTGGGGCCTCAAGCACATATCCAGAGACCAGCCGTGGGAATCAATGGTTCTTTGAAAAGAAGGGAATGCATTCAGAAGAAGAGAGGGATGGAGGAAGACAAAAATGAACGGGAGAAGGAAAAATGGGGAAATTCTAATTCTGGAGCATCATATTGATTTTATTGGGATGAAGAGAAATGTGGAAAAGGAATGGAAGGCAGGCAGGCCGGGGGAAAGGAGCAGTCCTTTGCAAGACTCAAGGTCACCATTCACTGGACAATGTGTTTCCCTGAATGACCAGGAATTTATTTATTTATTTATTTAGAAATTTTGTATACCAGTCTTCTCACCTCCATCGAGGGACTCGGACCGGTTTCCAACAAAAATATTACAAACAATCATTAAAACCCACATATTTCATATTACACTAAAACATTAAAATAGCAAAATACAGTCATATAATTACAATGGTCAGTCGTCACAATAAAATCGTTGTTCATCATCATCCCTCCATATCACAGGATATTGACTCACTCGTCGAATGCCAGTTTCCAGAGCCAAGTTTTCACCTGTTTTCTAAACGTCAAGATAGAAGGGGCAGTTCTGATCTCCAATGGAAGACAGTTCCAGAGCTGAGGGGCCACCACCGAGAAGGCCCTATCCCTCGTCCCCACCAGACGTGCTTGTGAGGCTGGTGGGACCGAGAGCAGGGCCTCTCCAGACGATTTTAACAATCTTGATGGTTCATAGGGGAGAATACGTTTGGACAGGTAAACTGAACCCTGCGGGACTCCACAGTACAATGAACGAGGGGTCGAGCAGGAGTCCCCTAGTAACACCTTCTGGGATCGACCCTCGAGGAAGGACTGGAGCCACTGCAAAGCAGTACCCCCAAGGCCCATTCTCGCGAGGCGTCCCAGAAGGATACCGTGGTCAATGGTATCGAAGGCCAAATAGAGGTCCAGCAGAACCAACAGGGACACACTCCCCCTGTCCAGTTCCTGGCAAAGATCATCCACTAAGGCGACCAAGGCTGTCTCAGTACTGTGTCCCGGCCTAGAGCCAGACTGCGCTAGATCTAGATAGTCCATGTCTACCAGGAACTCCTGGAGTTGCAAGGCCACCACACGGTCCAGGACTTTGCCCAAATAGGGGAGATTGGAAATTGGCCGAAAGTTGACGAATTGAGTGGGGTCCAGTGATGGTTTTTTCAACAGCGGTTTTATAACAGCTTGTTTTAAGCTGGCTGGAATATTGCCTTCCCGAAGGGAGGCATTAACCACCACCTTTACCCGCTCTGCCAAACCTCCTCTGGCTTCCTTTACCAGCCAGGATGGACAGGGGTCTAGGATGCATGTGGTAGGCCTCGCCTCCCCAAGAACCCTGATGACATCCTTGAGTTGAACAGATCGAAATGAATCCATCAAAACTGGACAAGCAAATGCTTGTGTTACATCCTCAGAGACTGCAGTTAACGTGGTGTCAAAGTCCGAATGGATCGAAGCGACTTTGTCTGCAAAGTACTGAGTAAAGGCTTCACAGCGAGCTGCCGAGTCGTCAGGGGACCCATCCTGAGAGGTGGGGTTCAACAACCCTCTGACTACTCGAAACAGCTCTGCCGGACGGTTCCTTGCGGACGCAATATTAGCCAAATAGAAATAATTTTGTGCAGCCTCTATTGACACGCCATACGCCCTTAAATAAAAGCATAGGCGTGTTCGATTTGACTCGCTAGGTTCTTTCCGCCACACGCTCTCTAGCCACCTCTTTGTTCGCTTCATCTCCACCAACTCCTCGTTAAACCAAGGAGATGGTTTGTGTTACATCCTCAGAGACTGGTTAACATGGTGTCAAAGCCCGAACGGATCGAAGCGACTTTGTCTGCAAAGTACTGAGCAAAGGCTTCACAGCGAGCTGCCGAGTCGTCAGGGGACCCATCCTGAGAGGTGGGGTTCAACAACCCTCTGACTACTCGAAACAGCTCTGCCGGACGGTTCCTTGCGGACGCAATATTAGCCAAATAGAAAGAATTTTGTGCAGCCTCTATTGCCACGTCATACGCCCTTAAGTAAAGGCTTAGGCGTGTTCGATTTGATTCGCTAGGTTCTTTCCGCCACACGCTCTCTAGCCACCTCTTTGTTCGCTTCATCTCCACCAACTCCTCGTTAAACCAAGGAGATGGTTTGTGTTACATCCTCAGAGACTGGTTAACATGGTGTCAAAGCCCGAATGGATCGAAGCGACTTTGTCCACAAAGTACTGAGCAAAGGAGATGGTTTACCTCGGCGACTTAAGAGGGGGTGCTCCGGAGCAATCGTGTCTATTGCCCTAGTCAACTCATTATTCCAATGGGAGACCAGAGCATTGACAGAATCACCAACCGAGGCGACGGAAAAATCCCCAAGAGCCGTCAGGAATCCCTCTGGATCCATAAGCTTCCTGGGATGGACCATCTTAATGGGTCCACCACTCCTGCGAAGGTTAGAAGTTGCAGAGAGTCTAAACCTGAGCAGGTGGTTGTCGGTCCATGGCAAAGGAGTGATTGACAACTCCTCCACACCACCACCTTCTTCCCAACCCTGACAGAAGACCAAGTCAAGTGTGTGTCCAGCACAGTGGGTAGGGCCAGATACTAGCTGGGACAGCCCCATAGTTGCCATGGTGGCCATGAAGTCCTGAGCCGCCCCCGAAAGAGTGGCCTCTCCATGGACATTGAAGTCCCCCAGCACTATAAGCCGCTGGGACTCCAATGCCAGGCCCAAGACCAACCCTGCAAGCTTAGGTAGGGGGCCGTGGTGCAGCGGGGTGGTCGGTACACCAGCAGCATCCCTATTCTGTCCCGGTCTCCTAACCTCAGGTGCACACATTCAAACAAGGTCAACTGTAGGGCAGGGCACCTGAGCAAGGAGATGGAATCTTTATAGACTATTGCAACTCCGCCTCCCCGCCCCCCAGAACTCGGTTGGTGCTGCACAGCGTAACCTGGTGGGCAAAGCTGGGTGAGGTTAACCCCTCCAACTTCATCCAACCAGGTCTCTGTGATGCACACCAGATCTGCCTTTTCAGCAAGGATTAAATCCTGAATGGTTGATGTTTAACCATTGACAGACCAGGCGTTCAACAGCACCACCTTCAATCCGGGAGGGCCGTCTACCTTGGTACCCAAATTTACCATGTCGGGAGAACATTTTGGAATTTTCCTCAAGGTTTGCTCACAAATTTACTCCCGGATTAAAGGTGGTGCTGTTGAACGCCAGGTCTGTCAATCAACCATTCGGGATTTAATCCTTGATGAAAAGGCAGATCTGGTGTGCCTGATTTCGATGGGGAAGCTCTGGTTCCGTTTGCCACTGTTAAAAGCCTTGGTGTTGTGTTGGACTCATCGCTGATGATGGAGGGCCAGATCACGGCCATAAGTAAGCAGGCCTTTTTTCATCTTCGCCAGGCAAGGAAATTGGCATCCTACCTTTCGGTAGAAGCATTGGCAACGGTAATCCACGCAACCGTCTCCACGAGGTTGGACTATTGCAACGCCTTATATGCTGGCCTTCCGAAGTCAATGACCCAGAAGATTCGGATGGTCCAAAATGCAGCGGCCAGGCTGCTAGCGGGATCATCTATAATATCCCATATTACACCGATTCTGCAGCAACTGCATTGGCTACCAATAAAACATCGGATCTCTTACAAGATACTGATCCTGACATTTAGAGCTCAAAATGGCCAAGGACCTTTATATCTTAGGGACCGCCTCATTCCTTTTCCCCATCAGTGGTTACCTCGATCCACCCAAGAAAATCTCCTGTACATGCCGGGCCCTAGGGAGGCACATTTGGAAGCTACAAGGCGTAGAGCTTTTTCAATCAATGCTCCAATTCTGTGGAACTCATTGCCTCCATACATTAGAGCAATGTCGAAGTTGCGACCTTTTGTAAAGGCGCTCAAGACTTGACTGGTTGTGCATTTAAGTAATCAGATCAAATTTTGCCAGTCACTGCTGAATGTTTTTATGTTAAATGTTTTTATATTGAATGTTTTTATATTGTGTAAATGCTATTTTAAATTGTAAGTCGCTCGGAGCACCTTGGTGGAGAGCGACTAATTAAGAGATAAAATGAGTGAGTGAGAGAATTAGCCGAATTGGTTTTTTAACTCTCCCTTTCCCGTATTATTTCCCCCTCCTCATCTTCACCTCTATGGGGGGCCCCCGAGGACTGGAACTCTTCCCCTGCCTCCAACCCCTTTCGTTCTCCACATCCTGACAATCTAATATTGCACTGTTATATGGTACATCAGTAACCCAACCAGTTGTTAATCCATCATTTTCACCATTCTTATAATTCAACTCCTCCGCTTCATAAAACCATCTCCAATTCTCCCCGGCCATTCGACCATTATTGAAGATGATTATAAAGTGCATGATGTAAAGTGCAAAAGCAAACTTAAAACGACAGTTCAGTAGCAGCATTGGAATTGATAACCAACAAATACTTATCCGTTAATTAAGGTGCTAACAAGTCGTCTATCACAGCAGTATAATGAGGAATTAAGTTACAATGGCCTTCATTTACAGTGCAATATTGTTGGCAAGAAATTGGCAATTGGCAGTACTAAATTAACATACGGTAAGGACAAAGGGAAAGTGCAAAGTGCAAAACACAATAGCTTGGGAGGTACTAGCAGCTTGACCTTGGATTCCAAAAGGGAACCATACCATTCTTCTACTGATGACCTTCAGTCAATCTGCAGCTGTTGGTAATCT